CGAATGTGCCCCTTGTGAGTGGTCTGCTCCCGGAGGGCCCCTGCCAGCCCCGCGCCTAGAGGAGGCTGACGAGCCGCGGAGACGCCCCCACCACAGAGCACCTACCGCTGGGAGAGCAAAGAAGGAGATGGCGAAGACGGAGAAGCAGGAGGCGATGGTCTTCCCAACCCACGTCTGGGGCACCTTGTCCCCGTAGCCGATGGTGGTGACTGTGACCTGCGAGGAGGAGCGCGGCAGTCAGCGGTGGAGCCCGAGCCCTGGACGGGCGTCCGTCCTACTGACCCCCTGCACCCGAGACCTGCTGCCCTGCCAGCAGAGGCCAGGGGAGAGCCAGCACTGAGTGGCTGTGTGGCTCAAGGGTCAGTGCCAGAGCCTGGCGGGACTGGGTTCCCAAATCAACGGGAGCTTGGCACCGACGGGGGACAGGGCCCACAGGAGGACATGCGTGGCCTCCGCGGCCCCATCCCGAGCAGGCCTGCCACCCAGGCCACCGATGTCGCTGTGCTCCGGCCCCGAGGAGGCGGAAGCTCCCACTGGGACCCGTCCCCGACAGGGAGCCCGGCCTGGGGATGACACACCACTTCCTGACGCCACCCGGGCACCGGATGTTCCCTTTGTCCTCTTCCCTGAGAGCACCAGATGTAGCCCGCTCCTCCTCCTCCGTGGGGGAGCTGTCCATCGGAGGGGGGCACTGGGAGTGGGGGCCACTCCCTGCTGCTCCCGCTCCCACACCAGGCTTGCCTCCCCCTGGCATTGAGGTTTGCTCCCTGGGCCTCCAGCCTGAGCATGACAAGGACATCCTGCAGGGCCTCGGAGCCCAGCCTGGACATGCCAGCCAGGCCGCCCACACCTGCCCACACCAGTGTCTAGGCCGTGGGGCTGCCTGCGGGGCTTCTGATCTGAGGAGCTGGCTCTGGGTCTGGCAAGGGGACCCAGGGTGCCTGGGGTCACAGCTCCACCTTCCAGCACACGCACTCAACCTGCACACCAGGGCAGCGGGCAGGATGGCCCAGAGTGTCCCTCAGGCTCCCCACCTGTGGCGGTCAGTCTGGCGCCTGCCACCCTGTGGTCTTGCCAGCCCTGCTTCTCTCCTCCAGGCCACATGAGAACGGCCCCCGGCAGCTCAGGGAGCCCTGTGTGGGACCTCCATGCAAACCCCCGGTCCACGAGGCCAGCACAGGGAGAGAGGGACACGGAGGCAGGGCCTGGGGCGGCCCATTTAGCAGATTCCAATGGAAGGCTAGGCCTGACAAGAAACAGCGAGTCCTGCGGCAGGGCCCACTCCAGCCCCGCAGAGAGCCCACCAGCCACGGGGGTGGGGAGGGAGGGGACAGAGAAGCCCGGTGTTCACAGCCGGGCCGGACACACGCTGTACACGCGACAGCTCAGAAGCACCAGAGCAGAGGTGGGAGGCCTTCAGGAAGCAGAGGTGACTGAGTCTGGAGCAGGAAGGACCTGGTGAGGGCCTGAGGGACGCCAGCGAGCTCGACGCTGTGGGGAAACCAGGCACACGCTTCAGCCTCCATGACCAGGGAGCCCAGGCCGCCCGGTGCCCAGCACACGCCCGTCTGTGGCCCCAGGACCTGGGGGCCATCTCCTGCAATGGCCACGAGGAGCCTTTCCCTGCAATGCCACTGTCCCCCAGGAACACGCCCCCCACACGCAGAGCCACCTGCTGCCGGGCCCGCATACGCGTGCACACACACACACAGACAGCCTCGCACAGACACGGGGATGTGCAGTGGCCGCCACGTGGCACACACATGTTCACATCACACACACAGCATGAGGTCACATAAAGGGGGTCTGGTGCCCACATCAAGCCTGACTCTCTCCAGGTCCAACCTCTGACACGCACACCGCACGTGCACACGGGCTGGGCACACCTGGAGCACAGCCCTGCTACCTGTAGGGGGGACCACACCACCCCGGGGCCATGGGCCAGGCCGACGGCCAGCAGGCAGACGGGGGCCCCTCACCAGCAGTCCCAGCGGGCCTGCGCCCCACGTGTGAGGCCTGGGTTGCAGCTGCCTCCGCAGGGGCCCGGGTGTGCGGAGCAAAGGCGGATCGCGGCTGCGAACGGCCATCCGAGACACTGCGTCCAGTGTCTTCTGGAAAATCCTGTTTTCCACAAAATCACTTCATTTACGTATAAACATACAGTGGAGCTATTTTTAAATTTCTAAGTTTCACTTTCTAATATGGTATTGATATAAACCACATAAACAAAAGCTCCCTGGAGCCTTCAGTTACCGCTAAGAGCGTAAGGGTTCCCGAGACAGATTCAAGAATGGTGGCCATGCAGGGAGTCAGGGGCAAGGTGACCTCTGAGACGGAGCAAGCAGGGACGTGAGTGTGGCCCTCACGCCTTGGGGGCAGGACGTAAAGGGTGTCAGAAAACTCAGGCCTCGAGACAAGTAACACCTAACGCAACATTTTAAATTACCGAAGTTAATCAAAAAACCCCCCATAAAACAAAATACCTCCACAACTGGAAACCAAACGCAGGCGGGAAGAGGGGAAGGGCCCATCTGGAGGGCAGAGGGGTGCAGGGCGGCCGAGGAGGGGGAGTCCGCCTCCCTCCACGGACAGGAGCGCGGGCGTCCGCATCCTCGCCCCACTGGACCAGGCCTGGTGCTGCGCCCACCTGTCTGGGAGGGGCCAGGAGGGCACCCGCCTCAGCCCCTCAGAGCCCGTCACAGACCTTATCTGCCGAGTGATCGGCGTCCCTGCGGCCCTGGAGGCGGCGGCCACCCCGCAGAGCTGTTGGCCCTTCCTGCAGCTCGGGAGTGGGCCGCTTTACCGCCACTGCGCTGGGGACTTGCCCGAGAGCAGGTGATCGGGGATGCAGACCTGGATGTCCCTGGACACAAACTCGGGAGATGGCTCAGCCAGGGCGCCCCATGTGCAGCGGCACGCAAACACGGATGCCTCATGCCCTGGTGCCGTCCCCCGTCATCTGTGTCTCCTCTGGGCTTCACCCACGTCTCCAGGAACAGGGCAGCCCCGGTGGTCAGGGCTGTCTGTGGGCAGTGAGGGGTGGGCGCCGTGGTCCTGGGGCACAGTGCCGGTCGCCATAGGGAGACGCCGTAAAGGGGACAGACTCTGGTCCGGGAGGCCGAGGGCTGACCCAGTCAGGCTTGCGATCTCCTCTCCCCACCCAGTAGGCACCTGCCTACATCCCTCACACAGAGGAGTCCAGGAGGGCGTGTAACACGCCCGGGGCCACTCAGCTGGTCGGGGGTGGAGCCCAGGTCCCCCCCACCATGTTGCCCCACTGCTTCCTCTTTCACTGTCTCTGGAGAGCTAAATTGGGAGAGTTCTCACCCTCGATGACACGAGCTGACCTCCACCCCAGAGGAAATCATCCTGAACACCACCCTCACTGGGCTCGCCAAATCCGAGTAAGACAGTGCCGCAGGTGTCCGTCACTGGACAGGAAGTACAGAGAGGTGGACCTGCCCTGTGGACTCCTGTTCATCCTGCAGAACCCAGTTGTCAAGGCCCTTCTCTGACTGGGCTCCCAGAGCCCATGTTCCCACCCCATACACAGCAGCCCACAGGTACGGAACCGGGTCAGGTCCTACGGACACTCCGTTCTCAGCTGCACTGCACTCCCAGGTCTCACACGGAGCCCAGGCAGAGGAAGAGCCCTGCCACCTGGGGTCTGGGGGCCTGGCCCCCGCCCCCCAGCCCTCAGGACCTTGGTTTCCCCAGCTTCACATGAGGTCCCGGCACAGGACCTGCCCACCTGGCCGTGCCGACACGGCTTGCACGAGAATGCCTGGGAGGCCCTGTCCTCACCCGGGCCCCGACTTGGCCCCCAGACCCGTTTGGCCTCACGCTGCCAGGATGCAGTGCAGTCTGGGGAGCCGGAACCTTCTGGAGCCCGCAGCGAAGGAGAATGAGCAGAGGTCAGACTCTGTTTTAAGTGGTGGCTGAACGCAGGGCGGCTTCTAGGCTTTTCACTCTAAAAGCTAAATTTAGACGCAGGGTGAACAGGGCCCAGCAGCCTCCTGACTTGAGAGACCCCCGGGCGCTAAACAGAGGAGCCCGTGTCTGCAAAAACCGCTTTTCCCTCCACTCAAATGTTAACACAAACAAACGCATTCTGTTCCAAGGGCAAAGAAGAAAGTCTTAAATCCTCCCCAAACACCTCAGCAGCCAGGCATGGGGCGCCACACTCGGGTCCCCACCTGGGGCGGGGGGACTGGAGGGGACGCTCAGCCGCTGAGCTGGCACCTAACTGAGACGGCCCGGAAACGGGCTCAGTGAGGGGAGAGCGCGTCTCACGAAGTCCCAGGGGAACAGCTGCTGGCCGGGGCTGAAGCATGCCCCCAGATTCACGTCCACCTGGACCCCCAGCACATGAACCTGTTTGGAAAGAGGGTCTTTGTCGATGTGACTGGGTTAAAGGTCTTGAGATGCGAAGGCCCTGGGTCTCGTGGGCAGGCCCTGAACCCACTGACCAGTGTCCTGACAAGAAACAGAAGGTGCAGCCCTGAGCCCAGACGTGCCTGGGGGCCCCCGAGCTGGAAGAGGCAGGAGGGACCCGCCCGGAACCATTGGAGGGAGTCAGCCCGGTAGCATCTCCATCTCAGACTTCTGGGAGACCTCAGATCTGGGAGAACACAGCTCTGCTGTTTTAAGCCGCCGGCCTAAGGGGCTTTGTCGTGGCCACGCAAGGATACTGAGAGCCGCTGTCCCATGGGCCATGGACAGCACTACCCTCCCGGCTCCTCAGCTCATGCACTCATTCACACAGCAAACACCGGCCGGGCAGAGATGCTGGGGTCACCCCCGTGGCACTTGTACCCTGCCTGACAGTGTCCACGTGTGGCAGCTCCCCTGCCCCCCGGCACTCCCTAGCGGAGACCCGGCAGATGGCACATCCCAGCAGCCTTGACACCCTATCCACGGGTCTACCTCACACATCTCGGAGAAGCTGGCCTGGCTCCGGCCATGCCCACCCAGGGCTGTGGAGTGAGGGCTGTGCTGGCAAAGCCTGGAGCAGACCCAACATGGACATCACAAGTGGCCTGGCCTGCAGTCCCCTCCCCTGCCGAGTGCCCCGTGGCAGCACCACTCACTTAACAGACCCCCTCGACCACCCAGGTGGGAGCTGCAAGGTGGGGTGGGGCCGGGGGGGCTGACGCTCTCTCCCTCGGTGGGCAAATGAAGCCACCACTGGGGTGCAGTACAAACTGGCTTCAAAGCCCAGTTGGGCTGCCCCATCTTGCATTTCTTGAGCTCTGTTTGTCTGAGATGTGCCAGGAGCACAGACCGTAACTCAAGCCTGGGGCACTCCTGCCTGGACAGCTGCAGGGGCAGCCGCTACCATGAATAGGGGCCAGAGCCCCGGCGGGGCCCAGGGCGGCGGGGGCGCGGGCCTGGTGGGGACAATGG